TGAATCGATGTTAAAGCCTTTAGGACACTCCATCTGGCACTTCCCAATGTTGAAATGCTCCGAGTCGGAAGTCACCAGGTACAAACCAGGCAAACAGGTATCACAGTATTCTGAACTATGGCACGTGGCACAACCGTTCAGGCAAAGAAGGCATCTTCGGCTTTGAGCGTCAACGTAGTAGCCTGCTTCACAGCTTGCGACACACCTGCAATCAACGGAAAGCCAATAACATAACATTACGTAAATAAATCAACTTTAAGACGACTATAATCTACCGAACAAAATCTTGGCGAGGCGTACGAAATGATAAGATGCCGAATATGCATCTTCGTATGTTTCGAATTATGAAATGAAATATTACATTAAAACAAGTTATTAGATGCTGCATCGGTGTTGCGATGACGGAGGTGGTTGCAAACTCAATAGCGAAGTGATAGTCCCTATCCATCAGGACATCGGTTGCAAAGTGCAAGGCTGAGGATATCGCGGTCGTAGAAGAATAAAGGGCGAGAGTGAAGCCGCTAAATGCAAAGTCCCTGCTTCGTGGTTTCACACAGAGAATGGCAACATGATGCGCAAAAGTGACGAGAAAAATGTGCAGTACGTCACCAAACGCTGCTGTCTTGAATCGATTATCAGTAATGACGGAAGCTGTGAAGCATATGTTCAAGAAATAAAACAGGAGGGATCGAACTGCCCAAAACATACTGCAGCAGAATCTGGAAAACTGCCGTCGGTAAGTCAGTGAAATTATCTGTATACCATGTAGGTACTCGACCAGCAACCACTTGTGCCGCAGCAACATGGATTCTCACCAATGAAGAAAACAAAACGCTACACGCATCTGCATGCTACAGTTGCCACAGAATACACAGCTACAGGCTAGTTAATAAAATTAAAAATGCAGAATTATTCACAGATGTTAGAAAAAGCACAAATCGAGTATGTCAAAAGACAAATAACTACAAAGAAAAGAACTAGAAAGTAAAGAAACTAAAACTCGTTCCTCCGCCGTGCACTACGACGAAACTATCAACCATGGCGACTGGTCAACGTCATGATTCATAGTATGCCGAACCTATGATGGAAAAGAATGGTGCGGCAAGTGAAAAACTTCACTACTGAATAACATCAGAGATGAACTGACCATAACGGATCTGAGCCGTATTTACCTACAAACCATAAGGCAATCTGCCACAAGGATAAGCTTGCCATCATATCGGACGTTACACCGGACAGAATACAACAGCAACTGGTGCCAAGAAGCGTAGGTGTGTCGTGACAACTTGCGACATCCAATAAGTACTGACCTTAATGCTGTACAAAACGACAATTCATGATACTGCATCATTTTTGATTCGTTTCGTTTCCAAAGTTTTGAAGCATAAACTCTGACTTTCCGTGGCGTTCATGATGTAAATTTCATCAGTCAGAGACAATATTTCGAGCGAAAAAATTTTATCCTTCAATGAGTCAAACAGTGGCAACAAAAGCGTACAGAATACGGAGACCAGTTGATCAACAGGTTGGAGCCATGGTCTGTTAAAAAGGTCTTCATATACTGCTAGAAGTAATGGCACGGTGGACAATACTGCGCAAATCTGAAGAACTGAGGGAATCGATCAAAAGGATTATTGCCAATATCTGTTTACTACCTCTAACTTACTCTCAATATAGATATTTTAAAACAGACTGCCAGCAACTGGAAAGGCTATCAAAATAAACTGCACAGTGCAATCATCATGTATGAATGGGGAAGTAAGAATTTATCTTTACATCTAGATGGAAGATTTGTCAACGAAGGTGTTTGCAAAATTCTATGTTTATGCGACGTTTGACTGCCAAATTTCCGGACAAACGCATCGAACATGATAAAAGAAAATGATGAGGTTAACCGATGCAACGGAACTGAAGCGACATCGACCCAAATGGCAACTGTCCATCACTCAAAGCTCTCAAAGCACCAAAGATGCCGTTCTGACGGTTTTGGTTCACAGTATGCGCGGTAATTTCTTTATTAAGCCACTTAACTTTGTAGACAAATCGCGGTGATATTGGTTTCATTCAGTCCATCGTCTATACCAAGAGACGGTTAAGAAAACATCGTGTTTCAAATGGTGATTCACAATTGCTGTTTCACGTGTTATTCTTACTTTCGAGGTCACCTACTGACCGGAGCTGCTCATTCAGTAAAGCGCCGGACTTGAAACCCAGAGGTCCTAGGCCAGAGACCTGGTAAGGTCACTCACCTTTCTTCCTTTTGAAATTGATAAATGAGTACGAACTCGTGAGAAAAAACAAAATATCACACACTATGCTGCCGCATAGCTGTTGTGGACTCTGCTCTTAACAAAATAAGACACTACTGTCAGATGGCATAGAAACGGAGATCAGCGCCAATGATTAACTTCATGAAAACAAGGGTGCTAGAACTTGTAAAAACATGTTAAGTCTAAGCAAGACTGAACTAACTGTTGCAGACTTTCCTACTTACCTTTCGCTTTGAAAAAAAGAAACGTGATTCACTGGACATGCGATCGAACCCAGGAACTCTCCACTCAGTCGGGCGTTTCACGGATTGACCAGCAAAGTCAATTACAAACATGATGCTTAGGCGGACCACGGTTAGTGCGTTTAACAAACAACCTGTACCAACAGCATAATGTTACGTCGGTAAAGAAAAACCAACGTAACTGCCGGTGGTTGGTTCAAGCTTGCCATTAATTTTGAAAGTCCGTGTGAGACTTCGAAGTCGTGTGCCGTGTGTCGCTGAAAACGCAAGCTTACCGAAGCTGTGTTGGTCATCAGCGGATTTGGTTAGGCAGATGATTATCAAAACGATTCTCTTTCTGCGAGCTGCTACCCTTGTTTCGAGTATATATGGCATTGAGAAGAATGCAATGGATTTTTTTGAGTATGGGTGGAAAACTTCAATGCCACTGGCCAAATTCATAATTTTGTAAAATTCCATTAAAACATAAAGGGCAATATAGAAAAGTTTGTAAGCGTTATAATGTCCGTCTTCCTTACGCTCCTGGTGCCCTTCCTTTCATGAAATTAATGCTAGGTCGCTGATCTCCATTCCCACGCTATCAGTCAGAATGTCTATTTTAAAGACATAGTCGACAGCAGGTATGTGGCAAGCTTAATGTGTAGTCCCCCGTTTCCATCCCATTTATGAGTCTCGGAATAAAGAAAATCGAGTGATCCGCCAGAGGCTCAAAGCCATGACCTTACGGATACGAGACCGATGCTGTGCCGATTCAGCAACCCCTAATCTAAAAATATATAAATAGCTCGGTTAATCATGAAAACTTGCTGATGCAAATGAAAAGTCCATTTGCCTGGTGCAAAAAACTTGCTATCTGTTCAAGTTTGAGTGACGTTTCGCAGTCGTTAGTTCACAGGTCAAACAGAGTCAGTACAACAAACAGCGAGCGAACGCAACTCGGTCTTACTTTGTGCCACCGCGATTGCGAAGCCTCTGGCTGAAGTGTCGGCACCGGACGCATTCGAGCGACGAATTTGGAGCTAAGCAGCCGCCATTCGGGTCACATTCAGGATGACAGTTATCGTAAAGGACCGATTGAGACGTATTCTAAATTGGAACCGTCACCAACGAGAAAGTACAGAACGTCAAAAGGGGCAAATAACATTGATGTTCTGGTGGTAGAATGAAGACCACTTCAACTTTAACATTAAATTTTCTAACGTGTCACACATTCAAATGCAGATCACGTCACTGGCTACTGGAGGGGTAGCCGGTGATTGAAAATGTAGAGAAAAGGAGCAGAAAACGAGAAAGTCTGGATCTAAAAACTACAGAAAAAGTGGAGTCACAGAACCACGGACAACGAAGAAACTCACAATGGTAAATACCCCTAAAGCCATACCATCCCGTCACCAACACTAACACCGTCCCCAAAGTAAACGCTAACTGGAGCACGTCGCACAAAATACACCTCATGCAATGCCGTCGTCTGAACCGAATGCCCGTCTTTAGCCATACGGTCGAACGAGTCAACGTCGTTGACCGTGTCTTCAGGCTGTGCGGGCTTTTTCGTCGCGTGCAACGTCAGCGACCAGTCGTCCAAGTACCCTGAACGATACAAATGA